GTGCCCTCCTGGGATGGTGGGTGCCCTCCTGAGACGCTGGGTGCCCTCCTGGGATGCTGGGTGCCCTCCTGAGACGCTGGGTGTCCTCCTGAGATGCCGGGTGCCCTCCTGAGATGCTGGCAGCTCTCTCCGCCTGGGACGACTGTCCGTGCGCCCTCTGTTTGCGTCCATGTCGCTGCCACGGGAGAGCCCAGCACGGCCACGCGGGAACCAGACCGACACGCGGGCCGTCAGGGCAGTGACGGGGTTGGCTCTCCCCGCTTCCCTCTGGGATTCACGCACGGAAAGGCTGTGTCAGCGCTCAGCGCCCCGTCTGCCCCGCGGGGGCCACTGCCATTGGGAGCTCCATGTGCCCCTGTCAGCGCTGCCCACAGCGCTGAAGTGCAGGCCCCGCCCCACCGAGCCCACGGCTCCCTGCAGTCCCGCCTGCCCTCCCGTGTGCACACGCACCTGTGTCAGTCCCCCAGCTCCCTGCAGTCCCCGCCTGCCCCCCCGTGTGCACACGCACCTGTGTCAATCCCACAGCTCACTGCCGTCCCCGCCTGCCCCCCCATGTGCACACACACCCGTGTCAGTCCCACCAGCTCCCTGCAGTCCCTGCCTGCCCTCCCGTGTGCACACGCACCTGTGTCAGTCCCCCAGCTCCCTGCAGTCCCCGCCTGCCCCCCCGTGTGCACACGCACCTGTGTCAATCCCACAGCTCACTGCCGTCCCCGCCTGCCCCCCCATGTGCACACACACCCGTGTCAGTCCCACCAGCTCCCTGCAGTCCCTGCCTGCCCTCCCGTGTGCACACGCACCTGTGTCAGTCCCCCAGCTCCCTGCAGTCCCCGCCTGCCCCCCCGTGTGCACACGCACCTGTGTCAATCCCACAGCTCACTGCCGTCCCCGCCTGCCCCCCCATGTGCACACACACCCGTGTCAGTCCCACCAGCTCCCTGCAGTCCCTGCCTGCCCTCCCGTGTGCACACGCACCTGTGTCAGTCCCCCAGCTCCCTGCAGTCCCCGCCTGCCCCCCCGTGTGCACACGCACCTGTGTCAATCCCACAGCTCACTGCCGTCCCCGCCTGCCCCCCCATGTGCACACACACCCGTGTCAGTCCCACCAGCTCCCTGCAGTCCCTGCCTGCCCTCCCGTGTGCACACGCACCTGTGTCAGTCCCCCAGCTCCCTGCAGTCCCCGCCTGCCCCCCCGTGTGCACACGCACCTGTGTCAATCCCACAGCTCACTGCCGTCCCCGCCTGCCCCCCCATGTGCACACACACCCGTGTCAGTCCCACCAGCTCCCTGCAGTCCCTGCCTGCCCTCCCGTGTGCACACGCACCTGTGTCAGTCCCCCAGCTCCCTGCAGTCCCCGCCTGCCCCCCCGTGTGCACACGCACCTGTGTCAATCCCACAGCTCACTGCCGTCCCCGCCTGCCCCCCCATGTGCACACACACCCGTGTCAGTCCCACCAGCTCCCTGCAGTCCCTGCCTGCCCTCCCGTGTGCACACGCACCTGTGTCAGTCCCCCAGCTCCCTGCAGTCCCCGCCTGCCCCCCCGTGTGCACACGCACCTGTGTCAATCCCACAGCTCACTGCCGTCCCCGCCTGCCCCCCCATGTGCACACACACCCGTGTCAGTCCCACCAGCTCCCTGCAGTCCCTGCCTGCCCTCCCGTGTGCACACGCACCTGTGTCAGTCCCCCAGCTCCCTGCAGTCCCCGCCTGCCCCCCCGTGTGCACACGCACCTGTGTCAATCCCACAGCTCACTGCCGTCCCCGCCTGCCCCCCCATGTGCACACACACCCGTGTCAGACAGTCGTGGGCGCTGGGCCTACCTCGGGCCGAGTCACCCAGAACCGTCCCACGAGGGACCGTCTCCCACTGGTCGGTGTGTGGACACGTGTGTTTGTTTTTTGTTCTTTTGTTGCATCGGTTTATTGGAACTGGTTTGAGCCAGACCCTCTATTTTTTATTTATTTTTTAATGTATTTTTATTGATTTTAGAGAAGAAGGAGAGAGAGAGAGACAGAGAGAGAGAGAAACATCCATGATGAGAGAGAATCATGGACTGGCTGCCTCCCGCACGCTCCCTACTGGGGATCGAGCCTGCAAGCCCGGCATGTGCCCCGGCGGGAATCGAACCCTGACCTCCTGGTTCTAGGTCGATGCTCAACCCCTGAGCTCCGCCGGCTGCTATACTCAGGGCTTGAGAAGGGCCTCTCCCCGCCCCCTCCACCCTCCTCAGCCGGCCTCTGTGGTGGTTTGGGGAATAGTGAGCCCCTTTCTCGCTCCCGACCGGCTCTGCCCTGTCGGAACGGGGTCTCCCCCAGGGAGGGGTCCTCGGGTCGGTCCCAGCCCCGGGCCCTGCCTGCCTGTCCCGGGCCTGCCCGCCTGTCCCGGGCCTGCCCGTCGCCTCGTCCCCCTTCACCCGGTGCCTCGTGCTCAGTGTTTGACGTTGATCGTGGGAAAAGCACTTAAAGAAAGTCCTCTGGCCCTGGCCGGTGTGGCTCAGTGGATAGAGCGCCGGCCTGCGGACTGAAGGGTCCCGGGTTCGAGTCCGGTCAAGGGCACAGGCCCGGGTTGCAGGCTCGACCCCCAGCCTGGTCGGGACACGTGTGGGGGGCAAGCAGCCCATGTGCCTCTCACATCAGGATTTCTCTGTCTCTCTCTCCCACTCGCCCTGGAAATCCACGGGAAACGTCCTGGGTGAAGGTCAGCAAAGGGAATCAAAGACCAGGGCAGATGAGTGGACGTTACCGTTTCTCTGGGGCGAGAGTCTGGGTTTGCGGCGAGACGTCGTGGGGCAGGGCAGGCGTGTGTGTGTGTGCGTGTGTGTGTGTGTGTGTGTGTGTGTGTGTGTGAGAGAGACTCCGCCCCACGTGCGGCTCCTGCCTCGCCTGACCGACCCCGACCGCGGTCGCTGGGCACACGTTACCCTGAAACCAGAGACACTGTCCGCGCGGCTCTGGGACCTCGGGCACCACAGCCCT